TATTTTGTCAGGTCATGCATTGTGACTAGGAGTTGCGTTTCACATGAATGGTTTTGTCGAAATCCATGCTGGAACGGGGTGAGGACATTATGCCTTTCCAGGTGATTCAACAGGTGTTTGCAAATGATGTGTTCCAGGAGTTTACAACATACTACTGTCAAGGAAACTGGTCTGTAATTTGCAGCTGTGTGCCGGTCCCCTTTCTTGAATATATGCGTAACGTTTGCCTGCAGCCAGTCATCGGGTAGATTTCCTGTTTGCAGTGACTGCGTGAATACGCACTTGAGCAGTGGGCCTATTTGGGGGGCCAGCATTTTGAGTATACGATTGGGTAGACCATCTGGGCCGCTAGCCTTGTTGATCTTAATATAATATCACCCCCTTGAATAGGGGAGATTCCAATTTTGTCTGCTCCACACTCTTTGACATATTTCCAGAATAGTCTGGTATTGTTTTCAGCAAGACTCTGGGTGAGTGTGTTTTCGATATAGTCCCAGTGTGCACTGCGAAGGTTATTTTGAACATGTTTCTTTTGGTTGCGGAAGTTTTCCCAATCACGAGTTTTGCCTGATCGCTTGACTTTGTTGTATAACTTATTTTTATTTTTTATTTGGGGTTTCATGCAGTGAGTGAGCCAGGGCAGGTTGTGCCGTGTGGTAGTGAACTTGGTCGGGATATGCTTATCCATTTGTAAAAACAGTTCATCTCTGAGCATATTCCAGTTGTCATTCACAGTTTGCTGATTTTCTGTTCTAACAAATTCTGTGCTGAACACTTCCAGCTCAGTTTGGATGGCTTCCCAGTCTGCTAATGAAAATTTGTAAATGTTTCCCTGGGCTTTCTTTGTATATACAGGATGTATACTAGAGTCCATCATGACAGCACAGTGATCTGATATGCCTGGTATTGTTTGCACATTTTGCACGAGCGTTTGATTTGAAGTGAATATCAAGTCTAATATGTTCTGTTTTCGAGTAGGCTCGAGTTGTACTTGTGTTAGTGAGTATTCTTTGACTATGTCTAAAACATGTTGGTTTAGAGCTATGTTGTTTGTCCCTGGTTGTTCATTTTCCCAATCTATACCAGGTGCGTTGAAGTCACCACCTAGAATTATTGTTCTTTCTGATGCGTTACCAGGCAATAGAGAAATTGATTTCCGAAGCTCATCCAGTTTGGTGTGATGGTCACTTGGTGGTCTATAGAAGCTACCAATGTAGAATGTTTTGCTCGCTTGGGAAACCTTGACCGAGACCCACATGATTTCAATGTCTGTGTCTGTGGTTGCAATCCTTGTTGCTGTAAAGCCTTCCTTTATGCCGATGAAGACCCCACCTCCGTTTATATTTCGATCCTTCCTAAAGATAGTATAGTGGGGAATATTGCACCATTCTTTATGGTTTCATCTAGCCATGTCTCGTTCCCAATTATGCAATCTGGTTTGGTGTCATCGATGAGAGCATGCAGGTTGGGGATCTTGCCCTTTACGCCACCACAGTTGATCAAGATTGTTCGCCATTGATTATGTCTTTTGGTTGTGGTCCCTACAATGTTGTCGGCTGAGTCATCCGCAGAGGTTGTGTTTATGGTTGACAGGCTTTCACTCACTTCTTGGTCACTGATTTCAGATTTTCAGTTGTCAATATTATATTGTTATTGGTGGTTGCTGGGTGTCCGTTTTCTCTATATTGGGTTATGGGTTCGAGATCTATTCTTGCTTCCTTAGTTTGACTAGTCGCAGGTTCCAGGGTGGACCGCAAACTAGGAAGACGTAGTTTTTTGACTCATCGGCTGCTGTTTTTGCCTTGGCCTCCTCGACTTTATTCCTGATGAGTTCACGATCTTCCTTGTTGTAGTCATTTGAAATGCTTATTCTCTGATACTTGTTTTCACTGTTTTTTTTGTTTCCTCACATTCTTGAATATTTTTCTCTTTGTCATCCCTGTTGTTGAGGACAATTTGTAATGGTCTGTTCCGTTTGGGGCCCTGGGTAGCCTGTGTTCCTAGTCTGATAACCTGTTCTGCTCTGAACAATGACAAATATTCTCCTGAATATTCTCAACACAACAACCTCTGAACTATGACAAATATTCTCCTGAATATTTTATTGATCTTCAGTCAAAGCATGAGACTGAAGTTCCCACCGTGGGTCAAAATAATGCGCTGTGATATGCAGTCGACACGTTGGATGCGATCCGAATTATCTAACGCAGCCCCTCGTCCTCCACAATGTTAAGCTGTAGCACTAGCCACCCATTTAGCTATCGCTGTTGTTGTCTAGGCGTCCCCCCGGCAAACTTTCAAGGGTGGTCTGCCGCAAACGAGCGGCAAGAGCAGGGCTGTCAGCATCAGCTGTGTGCTTAGCTTGCTGTTTAAAACACCTTTTTTTGTATCCCTATCTCTCGCTAGAATCTCCCACCATCCAACTAACAACAACAACAACAACAATGTCAAGCCTTTGGGCTCTGAAACTACGGGGCGGGCCGAGGACAAATACACATGCGTTAATCACACGTTAAAATAATTAGTGGCATTACAAATGTTAACTTGACAGCCCTAGTTATTTTTAACCAAATATCTCTCAGAGGTGGCTCCTTATTTTCATCTAAAGTAACAGACAGAGAATCAGCACTTTTGAAACAGGGCTGAAACAGAGGGGATTATGGGATGCTGCAATGATCTGTTTGGTATTTCAAGCCAAACACTTCAGAGACATGTTTGTATATATACCGGAGAACTATAATATATTGACAGGGTTCCCGCGGGGTCTTAAAAAGTCTTACATTTGATCATCAGAATTTAAGGCCTTAAAAAGTCTTTAATATGATCAAAAACAATTAGAAAGGTCTTAAATATTATTTAAAAGGTCTTAAAAATGATAGTATTTGAAAGGTAGGCTACTTCTGTGTTGCGATCACGTCTAACTGTGTTTTTCTGGGGAAATGTCCGGGCTGCAAAGTAACCAGTAACAGGGTGTCCGCGGGGTCTTAAAAAGTGTTGACGTCAAATCCAACGGGATGACACTAGGTATAAATACTAGGGCCGGGACTCGATTAAAAAAATTAATCTAATTAATTAGAGGCTTTGTAATTAATTAATCGAAATTAATCGCATTTTTAATCACATATAAATATTTGACCTAAGAACAGTGAGAAGCAATTTTTTTCACATGGATTTTAGTATACCATTAGGCGCATTCACACCACAGTACTTTTCCCACAAAGGTTCATGAGAACTTAGTTCATGAGAACTCTTTGAACCTGGGGGAGGATTAGGCAAATTAAGCCGCTGACGTCACTTCTTCTTCTTCTGCTTTGGGTTTACTGGCAGGCCGCAAACCACTTCACGGCGTATACTGCCGCCCAAAGTCCCCGGCCGGAAGTCCCCGGAGTTGGGGACTGGCTTCAGTAGAAGCTGCTGGGAGTCCCAGCAGCCTTCCGAGTAAATCGCCAGAACACCGACACCTCCTCATCTCCACCGCTCCCATGTTTTATTTTGTGTTGCCATAAGTTAGTCTCTCTGCGTTTCTGCGCTGGGCTAATGCTAATAATGCTAATGCGAGGATAATAAAATGACGGCTTCACAAAACTTTTTGGGAGTTTTACGGGGCGTGGTTTGCAATCCGCCCAGCCAATCAGAAATATAGCTCTTTTCTCACAAGAGAGCCGTACGAAAGTCCCTGCTCTCTAGCAGCTCTCTGCTCTCTAGCAGGGACTTTCGTGGGGGTAAAAAGGTTCTCATGAACTAATTTTAGTACCGGCTCTTTTTGGTGTGAACGCGATAAAAGAGTCTAACGTCCACGCTAGCTTCCACGCTAGCTGCTATATGTTTTGCATTGAGGTGATACTTGAGGCTTGATGTGCTGCGGTGATATGCAAATTCCTTTTTGCATAATTTGCACACAACCGTGCTCTTATCGACGCTTCCATCCGTCCGTTTTTTAAAACAACATTTCTCACTGTTGTTCACTGTGGTTTGTTGTTGTCTGAAGTCATGAACGTTAGTTGGTGCTCCAGTATAATCGGTACGCCTGAAACTCATCCAGTGAGAAACGTTCCGCGGTGCAAAAATAAGTGCGATTAAAATGCGTTAATTTTTGTGTAATTAATTAATCTTAATTAACGCGTTTAAGTCCCGGCCCTAATAAATACCCTTATTACATATCGGATCTGCACAAACAAGATATCGATTAGCAAGCGGAGATTCCACAGGTTCTAGGGGTATAAGTATCATCACTGAGCGATCTGAACTTGCGACAGGGGAAATAAACACAGACATCACAACACGGAGCTTTACGGAGCAAAAACTGGACATTGTCTTACCTATGCTGTTGTTCTGATCAAAAGTTGTGTTCAATGGCATTAAAACGATAAAAATGCTGCTGAAGGTTAATCCATAGGTTAATCCAATGTGTCTGAAATGATTACTGATAATCCATCTTCATATTTATGTCAATAACGGAGTTTTCATATATAGTTTTACTATATTCAATCTGAATTTACTTTAAAATTAAAAAAAAATATTTTGATTCTGACTTTTTTACTTCCAACTCACAGGTTTATCATTGCTTTGAGAAAAAAGATTATTAATTTACCCCTTTTAGAAGTGAAGGTATTGTATTTTGTTCTGGGAATGTCATTTTCGAGCCTGAGACCTGAAAAACAGGCTCAGGGCTTAACAGGTTAATAGCGGTTATAAAGGAAAAGGCAATGTTTCTTACTGTGTCAGTACTCTACAGTGAGTTGAGTAGGCATGACATGCAAGGACAGTATCTGGTAATGTTGGGTGATGGATCCGTATTATTTCTTATGAACTTTAATTGAAATTGTGTTGTAATTATTATTCTATTTATTGTTTTTACAAAATTGTGTTCATATTCAGAAAATGAGTTATGTTGAGTATGTTGTTTTTCTCCAGAGAAGTGTGTCCATTGGGTCGTGGAGACAAAAAAAAGCATGTTAAGTTATTAAGTGAGTATTCTGTTTGTCATTGTTGTGTGTTAGGAGTGAAGAAGACGTTTCAGTGTGAGCTGTGTAGCTACACCTGCCCCCGGCGCTCCAACCTGGACAGACACATGAAGAGTCACACGGACGAGAGACCTCACAAATGTCACCTGTGTGGAAGAGCCTTCAGGACCGTCACCCTGCTCAGAAACCATCTCAACACACACACTGGTACACATAAGCACACATCTTCATTAAAACTTTAATGAGACAGAATAATTTGTAAGTTCTTCAGTACCATGCAGTGATTGCTGACGTGTCTTTGTTTTGTTTGTGAATGCAGGAACTCGTCCACACAAGTGCACAGACTGTGACATGGCTTTTGTGACCAGTGGAGAGTTGGTGCGTCATCGTCGCTACAAACACACACATGAGAAGCCCTTCAAATGTTCCATGTGTGACTACGCTAGTGTGGAGGTAACACAAGCTTTGTGCTTTACGAGTTTGATACACTAAATATGGTGCCTATAAAATGGATGATTTACTTTTTGTTTTAGTGTTCTGATATGTGACTGTGTGCTTGTGTGTTTTGTAGGTGAGCAAATTAAAGCGTCACATCCGTTCCCACACCGGTGAGCGTCCGTTCCAGTGCAGTCTTTGCAGCTACGCCAGCAGAGACACGTACAAGCTGAAGAGACACATGAGGACACACTCAGGTAAAAAAGACCACTTAAATCATTTGTGACCTGCTCCATCGAAATCAGTCGCATTGACCCGAAGACACATTTTGAGTTGTATACACTGTTGGAAAGAGGATATTCCTAGCTTTCTAATGATATCAGGATTGTTTTTGTACTCCAAATATTAAGCGAAATATGTCACATTATATAATGACTGTCACAGAGTCATCATTTTGAGAAAAAGGCCTTTAAAGTTTCCTCTTCTCTGGAATCCATCGATCTGATTGATTATTAGCGGCTAGCAAATGATCAAAATACTACGGAGGGAAGATATTTTCATTTGGAGGGGAAGCTCGCGAGTGTGTGTGTGTATACACGTGTGTGTGTTTGTGTAATTTTGCGTTTGTGTGTATTGTGTTTGTTTCCCGGGGAAAACACTCACGAGAAACACCGGCTGTTGTTATGCCTGCTGTGACGTTAAGTTACTCCGTTCTCCGCTTGTAATTATGCCGTTACAAGCTTCAAAGTTGTATTTATCATCTGAATTTGCCGAAACAAGTTTAATATTCTGAAAGCCAAGACTTTGTTTAATTGAAATCAGATGAAAACAAACTGTAACGGACCCTGCCGTGTTATCTATGATTACTATACTCTTACATTCATAATTTTAGCCGGAGGGAGGGGGGCGACGCTGCGGAAGAGCAGATTGCGAGGGAGAGGTGCCTGTCTTCGTCCCTTTACAAGCTTCTAGGGCTGTCCCGAATACCATTTTTCGGGCTCCGGATATTCGGTAGTAATCAGCAGCGAATATTCGAATATTCGGTGCTGAGAGATTGTTTGTTTTTTTTAATAAAAAAAAAACATTTAAAAAAAATGTCATAACACGCTCCGAATCCGAGACACCTGACAACACGCTGTTAAGCAGAAGCGCAGAAAGAGCATACTATTACGATTTATATGTATTTATTGTCTCAGTATTTGCATACATTAAAACTAAATGTGTCCTCTGCATGTAACCCAGCCGCAGTGCAGCGCCCGGGGACCAAATCTGGTTCCAAATTCCGTCTATAACGTTTTACAACCTGAAGATACAAAACACATATTTCTATTATAACAACAATACTTTTAATAACATAGCCGTAACAGTAGGCCTAACAGTGTAGTACTTACTTTACGAAAATAAATGAACGAACTGTATGCCAATAATTGCCTTAGCCCCAGATGTTCCCACATTGCTCCTATTATTTTCATTATTCGGATCAAATTCAAAAACTAATATAAAAAAACAATTCGGTTGCTTGCTTGCAACTATTTTGCAAGCAAAGTAAGTGCACGATTTTATCATGTGTAACGTTACTGTTTAAACGGCGGATAAAGCAGCTTCATCATGGCAACTTGACAACAGCAAAGCTAAGCTAGGCTAGTACTTACAGCATCCAGTGACTTTTCAGAGTTGTTGTGCCACCGTGGTAGGCCAGTTTCTTATCGCATATTTGGCACACTGCCTTCTTCTTACCGTCGTCCAATTTAAAATGGTCCCACACAGCTGAAGTCTTAGGCATTTTGTGTTCAGGTGTGTGAAGCGAGGTGAAGCGTGCCGTTTGCGTTCGTGACTGTGAGTGAACGCGATGTCAGGAGCACAGGCTGAGATTGTATATATTTCCGCATTTTAACAGTGCAATTCAAAAGTATAAATATAGTATAAGAATAGGGCAATTCGCCTTTATTGATAGCATACATTTAGGAAAAATGTAAAAAATAAAAAACGAATATCCGAATAATGAAATTAAAACCCGAATAGTTGGCCAACGAACGAATAGTCGAATATTCGGGTACAGCCCTACAAGCTTCAAAAATGTATTTATCGTGTGATTTTGGAAATAAAAGTTTCATATTCTGAAAGCCAAGACTTTGTTTGTTTAAAATCAAACAAAACACCCGAACCCCGAAAAAATAGTTTTTTACGTAAATCCACGTTTATTTTGAAATGAGCCGTTGCGACTTCCGACTGATTTCGATAGAGCGGGTCACATTTGGTCATTTGATATTTTTCTATACCTCTCCCCCATTAGTTAACTGCAACTAACTAAACATTTAACAGGGTTCCCGCGAGGTCTTAAAAAGTCTTACATTTGATCATCTGAATTTAAGACCTTAAAAAGGTCTTAAATATGACCAAAAAAATAAGAAAGGTCTTAAATATGATTTAGAAGGTCTTAAAAATGATCGGATTTGAAAGGTACTTCTGTGTAGCGATAGCGTCTAAATGTGTTTTGGGGGAAATGTCCGGGCTGCAAAGTAACCAGTACGGTAAGAGCCTTTCAGTTCCCCCCAACAATATGTATTTAATTAAATCAACATGGAACCAGTAATCATTAACTTTGTTTCCCCCGGCCCCTTATCAGAGAACACCCAGCTAGTAACCTAGCAACCAAGCTTCAGCTAGCAGCAGTTAGAAACTCATGTATCTTCGAATCTACTTACAAATGAATATGGGGAAGTGTAAGTTCAACCGTATTTGGTTGGAAAACATCGAATTTAGTGCTTGGTTGAAACCAGTGGAGGGGAACGTGTTTGAAGCCCGCCGCACCGTTTGCAAAAAAAATTAGCGTTTGTTTTGCTAATTTAGCGTTAACTAGTGCAGCAGCTCCCGCAACAACATCGGGGGACTTCCGGGCGACGTTTGGGTCTACGTCAACCCTAAAAGCGTAGTTAAACAACAATCATACAACAGCAACGATGAAAGATTGTAGCCAAGGCAGCAGAGCTCTGAATATAGCTCTTGTCACACACACACACACACACACACACACACACACACACACACACACACACACACACACACACACACACACACACACACACACACACACACACACACTAGGGCTGCTCGTTTATGGCAAAAATCATAATCACGATTATTTTGGTCAATAATTTATATCACGATTATTAAATATGATTATTCATTGACTTTGAAAACATCCATTTATTGAACTTTAAAACTAATAATAATTTGAACAATCAATCAATGTTTATTTATATAGCCCAATATCACAAATGTTACATTTGTCTCAGTGGTCTTCACAGTGTGTACAGAATATCAGTATGACAATACGACACCCTCTGTCCTTAGACCCTCACATCGTACAAGGAAACACTTCCGGAGAAAACCCACAGTTTAAAGGGAACATGGGAGAAACCTCAGGGAGAGCAACAGAGGAGGGATCCCTCTCCCAGGACGGACAGACGTGCAATAGATGCCGTGTGTAAATCGAAATTTACAGAACAGTATCTTTTTAACTGTTGATTACCCTGAACGTATAATTCAACTGAAAAACCAATACAAAAATAAATTAAATAAATGATACATTTAAATAAATAATATCAAAATAATAAATACCAATAAACAAGATCAACAAATATTTTGAGGCGCACTTCCACAACCTACTAAATATGATAAATAAAAATAAATTAGACAACAACCTAGCAAAGCTAAATAATCTTTTTTCTATTATGTTGTTTTCGTAATTGTGGCAGGCCAAAATCGTAATTGCGATTAAAATACGATTCATTGCACAGCCCGAACAGACACACACACATACACACTTTTTGTCTAACACGCTAACACAGTTCTGTGTACTGTTATGCTGTTATGTTCAGTCATTGTTCTTATGTTGAACATGAATACATTTACTTTGTACGTAATTATGGGATGTATTTCTTCTTTCATAGCAATTTTCCTTCATACTTTCTTGCCGTGAAATAGGTCTTAAATTCTATTCAAAGTGGTCTTAAAAAGTCTTACATTTGAGTTGGTGAAACCTGCAGGAACCCTGATTTAAATATATACTACATTTTATACCTCCTTCCCTATTGTTACCTCTTGCAAGGTGCAACATGTATTTGTTGTCTACAGGAAATATGACTTGTGAATGTTTAACTTTTACCTACCAGTTAATACAATATTATTGTGTTTGTTTGTTTACTATACTAACCACTTTCATTTTCTACCAGCAATCCAGTAAAATATGAAAGTTGTGGTGCTAATGTGACCTGCCTCTTATTCTTCTATATTGTTTTGTTGACTATGAACATAAATGTGAATAAATGGATATAGATAAACATAGATATGATAAACATATGTACATTTTCAATCCTCTTCTCAGGAGAAAAACCTTATGAGTGCTACATCTGCCACGCCCGATTCACCCAGAGTGGAACCATGAAGATGCACATTCTGCAGAAACACACAGAGAACGTGGCCAAGTTCCACTGTCCACACTGCGACACTGTCATCGCACGCAAGAGTGACTTAGGTAACACAAACTGTGTAAACTTATCAGACTGACAAGATAGTTCACTTTGCATGTCATTTTTATTCCCCTCATGTCTTTTCTTTTTCTCATCTGTTTGCATTGCAGGAGTCCATCTGCGTAAGCAGCACTCTTTCATCGAGACTGGGAAAAAGTGTCGCTACTGTGACGCCGTTTTCCACGAACGCTACGCTCTGATCCAGCATCAGAAGTCCCACAAGAACGAGAAGAGGTTCAAATGCGAGATGTGCGACTACTGCTGCCGCCAGGTGTGTGTTCTCTTTTATCTTGAGTTACTTTACTCATAACAATTAAGGAGCAAATATCAGGGATAGGTATCCAAAGCCAGTATCATGTTATTATCAGCAGCAACTTCATTACATTCGGAAAAAATAAACAATTTGGAATCCTGATTTTATTTAAAATAATATAAAGAATAGCAATCAATGAAAAAATGCATACCTGGGCAAAAAGAAACACCTGTAAGTCACATGTTGGAATCATTTCGCTGTGTTCACAATTATTAGGCAAGTGAGTATTTTGACCATATCATAATTTGTATGCTTATATTCCAACTCCATCAATCAATCAATGTTTATTTATATAGCCCAATATCACAAATGTTACATTTGTCTCAGTGGACTTCACAGTTTGGACAAAATATCAGTATAAGCTCCAAGCTGTATAAACTTGAATGCGTATTGTATTGAAGCATATCAGGTGATGTATTTGTGTAATGAGGGAGGGTGTGGCCTAAGGCAGTGTTCCTCAAACTTTTTCATACCAAGTACCACTTAACCAATAAAAACACACTCGCGGACCATCTAACTCCACAAATATCCCAAAACAATAGGCCTGCTTACTAGGGATGCCAGTGATTATTCAATTATTCGAATATTCGTTACAGTCTCTATAATCGAATATTATTTTTAAAAATCGATTTTATTTATATATTTTTTTTATTATTATTTATGTTTTTTGTTTTTTTTTCTGGCTTAGTTTCAACCAAAATATAGACTAATGCTAATAATAGTAATAGTATTAATAATTGTAAATGGCCATTGGTCACACCACCAGTTTGTTTTACTGTAAACTTGGAGGAAGCCTGCGTGCAGAGCAGACTGCTGCTGCAGCACGCTACACACCGCCCCCACCCCCCACCCCCCCTCTCCCTCACACGTGCGACTAAAGATGAACAAAGCGGCAGGTAAAAAGAGTTCCTCCTCGTGGAACTACTTCGAACTTACAAGTCCAAAGGAAGTTAAATGCAAGCTCTGCGAAAAGACGTTGGTCTATCACAGCTCAACCTCAACAATGCGTTCGCATTTGAGTGCGAAGCACGCCAAAGAGGTTACAGAGAAAGACACAGCACAGCCGGCCATTACCAACTTCACTTCAAGGCCACGTCGTTGTGATGACTTTTGTTGTTTGTACTGTTTAACATGTTCCAGTAAAAAAATCAAAGGAATTCCTTTTGTCTGAGTTTTTTTTTCTTTCTTACCCGCAGGGGGGGGGGGGGGGGGGTCGAATAATCGATTATTATTCGCCAGGGCTGCCGAATAATCGATTTTGATCATGGTCAGTTTCTGGCAACCCTACTGCTTACCACTCCAACAGTTTATAACAAATTACAGCCTAATAATAACAACAGCTTAACGTGACCTCTCTATATCGCCTCGTTCACACATTAAATCAACAATACAAATACAACTACACAGATTATATACGCCTTTCGTTCAAATGCGATTTAAAATGCTCACAGGTTTTACACCTTTTATGAAATGTAGACTACATTTATTACGGAGTTTATGTCCGAGCCAACAGACTCACAGATCGTTGGCTACTGAGACAGTGTTTCCCCTACCATTGTCTTGGCGGGGCGCTGCGCCCTGCCAACGGAGCCCCGCGCCCCGCCTGAAATTCAAGGTGTTTTTTATTTATTTAAAAACTACATATATATCGCACCAAATTGCAACTGAAGAAATCTATCTACGGTCACTTTTCACATTGAACATGTGTTCTTTTATCAAATAAACTAAACGCCTATGTTATTTATCCAATGTATGTGCATGTTTCAGTGTCCACTGCTTTGCGTATTCACATTCTCCCTCCGCTCTGTTTCTGAAGGGCTCCGCTCCGCTCCCCCCCCCCACACACACACACGAATGCACACACTCACAATCAGAGACAAGAGCGGAGGAAAGAAGGAGAACAACAAAGTGTAAAAAAGTCAAACAAATCTGCTTTATTGCCCCGAGCTCTGCTGTCTGCCCGTTTGTGGCGCCCCCCCCAGTTTGAAATTCGTTTATTAGTTTTTAACCTCAAGCCGTTATCGTCACGGGAGAAGGACACACACAGCCTGCCCAGGTGGACGTGCGTGAACGCGACAACGAACGTAGCGTGCGCATTCTAAAAATAGCTCACAGATGGTGAGCAGGTACTGCGGTTTTGAACTACAGTATTAAATTTGACAGAAAACAACAATGAAACGCCAGCAGAAGAATAGTCTAATGAGTTGGGTGAAAAAAAAGACAGGAGATGTGAGTTGATATATTCAGTAAATTAGCTCAGGATAATTGGATGTTCTGTCTACACCTGTTGATGTGAGGCTAATGCAGGATTTGCTAGCTTGATGCTACCGGCATTTAGCGGCAGTGACTCAACAAATTGCCTCTTAAAATGTATCGTCAGCAATGTATGACAAGCAGACTGCTTGTTTAATGTTAGACTCACACCAATAGCTCAATATGGTCCTAACACGATTGCTTTCATATCAGAGATCAGATGAGGTGGAGCTGAGTATCCATAGATCTCTTAATGTTGCTCTCAAAGTGCACCATATTGATGCTTTTAACTTCAATATTAAAAAAAAATCTTCCCGGGGGAGCATCCCCCCGGACTCCCCTAGAGGAGGTGAGGTCCGCCCCCCACTCATAAAAAATAGCACTTTACCCCTGCCTATATGCCGTGAGCTGATTATCGAGCCTTCATTGTAACAGTTGCGGGTATACTGTGTGTGCGTGTGGGGAGTGGCCGCCGCCACTGTGGGCTAAGCCCCGAATGTTTTCAGGTCCAGGCGACGCCCCTGCATATGAAACGAGAAAAAAAGAAAAGACAAGGCGATGTGCCTGCAAGACTGCACTCAGGTAAACAAAACATATTACCCGTGCGCAGCAGCCAACCTGCCTTTTACAAATGTTAAAAAATGTTTTTTTAAATGCCTCTTTTCATCCTCTGTCTGAGGGAAACCCCAAAAAGCATGATAGGGCAAGCCAGGCCCCTTTAAGTTATTTTATTTATTTTTGTCTGCTTCTGAGAAGCTAATGTATAAATTATACAGTTATTTCTGAAAGAAAATTACTATAAAATGACTGTTTAATCTTCACATCTTGTATTCATGTCTATAATTTTGAGCACCAAATTATTGAAAAGTATTGATAAGAGTATCGAAAAATACCAATAAGCAGTACCGGTATCGATAAATCCTAACGATACCCATCCCTACTCTGAACCCTTTCTTTGCCATTATATAAAAATAGTGTTGCTACAAAAGTATAAATTAGGCTTACTAATAAGACAACTCAGATCTGAAGCTACACAGGAATCTGCTGCCAAAGTGCAATAAAAAAGACAAAATTAATAGAATCAACCCCTCACATTTTTTTGTTGCATTTTAGGAGAGAGAGAGAGAGAGAGAGAGAGAGAGATTGGTATTCCAAGGGATCCCATCCCTGTGATTTGATTAAGAGGAGATCTTCTATTGTTTTCAATCTCAAGCGCCAGTCTCCTTGGATCCTCTTGATAGTTGAGAATTGGCGTTCAACTTGGGCTGTGGAGACAGGGAAGACCAGTACAATCCTGATGAGATGAAGGAGGTTTGGATAGATGGCTTCTTTTTCTGTGAGCATCCTGTGCCATAGCACAAGGAAGGCCTCCCTTCTGTGATGCTGCTGAATGTCATGTTTGTGCTGATGAATGTCATGTTTGGCTCTCAGCCACTCTCTCTCCACTTCGGCCACATTGCAGCCATTACTCAAAAGCAGTGGCTCAAAATGCTCACACAGTCTCTGAACTTCCTCGTCTCCGTAAGGGTCGATTACACTGATGTTCTCTGGCATATTGTGTGGATCGAAGATCTCAGCAGCCAGGAGCACAGGGTCTGTGGAGAAAGTCGCAAACCATTGAGAGATGCAGTCAGTGATTCTGTTGACTATTTCCACCCTTTGGTGGCGGAAGGCCTCATCAGACATAGAATGGTGGCTGATAGCCACTCCCTTAAACTCAAAAACACCAGCGCTGCTTGTGCTGGTGAAGGCATTGAGGACAGGACGCAAGTAAGGGCCAGGTTTTTCCCTCTGTCTGAGCAGAGCAGTCTGGGAGGCCACAACCCTACTCCTGACAGAGGAAAGGGACAGCTCATCTGCCTGGAAGTCCAGAGAGAGTTCAGACAGTTCAGTCAGGAGATCCTGGTATAAGACCATATGCAGGACGAATTTAGACGAGGTTAGTTGCCGCTAATACACTTTCAGTTTGACTTTGTCTTGTCCAGCTAAATCTGCACCCTGGAGAAGATGGACCGAGAGACTACGATAGTTGGCAGCAAGGCTAAGGCATTCCTTCTGTGGTTGATCCACCTTGTCCCCTGAGCACGTGTTGGCTTCAATACATGCTCCTCAAGAGCCTTTCCGAGGTCCTTCAGCTGCCTCCATTTTTTGGCTGAACGGCGGTAGTAAAGGCGGGTAAGAAGGTCATCAATCTGGAGGGGGGGGGGGGGGGGGGTCGTCAGAGAGAGAGAGAGACAAGCTATGGAATTCTTCATATTAAGTGTGTTTTTTACCTACAGTATTGTAATGGACAAAAATAAGACATGCATTTCTTCTTAAAGGGAGGCAATCCTCATGACACGCATTTTTAAATAATTATCATCCGATAAAACAGACCAGTCTCTGCCAGTCTTCTTTTCTTTTTCTTTTTTAATCCGATAATGTTATCAGTGATTTTAAGCTGATTAATTACCTAAATAACATCAACCCTGTGGGCGCCGCCATTTTGACGAGTCACATGACTTATTTTACCGGAAGTGACGTGAACTATGCGTTGGGTGTCGAGGACAAATTGACATGTGTTCTTTGTTCATGTTGTTTACTCTAGTTACTCTCACAATTATATTGAAATATGCCTCATTGTATCGCGAAACATTGCCACAATTCGGATAGGAACAATCCACGGAATGCTCGGTTCCATCTATTGCCAACGGGTAAGCGTAGGA